TTGGTCTACTCACCCCCTACCTTTTCTAAAGCCTCCTTGTTCTTCTACTATCCTACTCTCTATCTTATTCTTAATTCTTTCAATAATAACTCTACCATACACTTTACCAAGTATACTCAACAGACTTATTCCCCTATAATTTTTGCAATCTCTTGCGTCCCATTTGCCTTTATACGAAGGAACTATGCATGCCCTCTCCCAATCTCTAGGTACCTATACCCTCTTCCATACATTTACTAAATAAAAGCACCAACCACTCCAAAACTATATCCCCACCTGCTTTTAACATTTACAGTGGTCCCTCGATAATTGTAAGTCTCGATAGTCATAATTTTCGAAACTCGTAACATTATTTTTGTCAAAACATTGGCTCGCAATTTGTTGTTTGACTCGCAAATAGTCGTTCGTTTGGGACGCGTACACACAGCCCCGAGCAGTTGTGATAGTGGTAGAGGGTGGTAGCGATGGTGGTAGAGGGTGCTAGCAGTTATGGTAGTGGTAGATGGTGGTAGTGATGGTAGTAGAAGGTGGTAGTGATGGTGGTGGTGATGGTGGTAGAAGGTGGTAGTGATGGTGGTAGCAGTTGTAATAGTGGTAGAAGGTGGTAGAGGGTGGTAGTGGTTGTGATGGTGGTAGAGGGTGCCTTCTTCAGTGATTCAGCGATTCTACCAACTCCTCCAATGTTGTTGGAGTTATATAGAGCTACAGAAAACACTGCCGCTTCAGCTGCTGCTTCACCACCATTATGAACAGTTTACTCTCAAAAGCCCTCATACACCCACCAACAACACAACACCTCTTGTGACATACATAATGACTTATTTTATTCATCCTAGAGTATATTCCATATTTCTATGTTATTAATATTGTTTATTATGTCATACTAGTTGAATTGTGATAGATAAATAAGCCATAGAGTTGATATTAGTGTCATATTCTCCAACAATAAACTCGCCATCCCTCTCTCACACAAACAAGCCTTCAATGAAGGTAAGTGTGATGTTAAATAAGAACATAAGAACTTAAGAAAGGAGGAACACTGCAACAGGCCTGCTGGCCTATACTAGGCAGGTCCTTCACAAATCCAACCCACTAAGAGAACAAATGCTACCCAAGCAATAAGCTCAGGTGCAAGTTAGACTCAAATCCAACCCCTCTCACTTATGTATTTATCCAACCTAAATTTGAAACTACCCAATGTTTTAGCTTCGATCACCCTACTAGGCAGACCATTCCACTCATCAACTACCCTTATTACTAATGTTCATTTATACATTTTATTAGTGCTTTACATTTATTTGGCAGTCTTTTCTGCATGCAAATCTATATTTAAGCTAGGGAAGTGACCCCTGAAGTGACCTAGAGTCCTTATGGAGGGGGATTCTCCTTCCAAACAATAACCTCTCTTCCCTCTCTCCTCCTCCCTGTCTTCCATTCATCAACAACAGCCTTCAATAAAGGTAACTGTCATGTTCAATGTTCATTTTTTGTGCATGTAAATCTATCTTTAAGGTAAAAAGAATTGTTGTTGATACTTCTGGGTGTCTGGAATGAATTAATTGGATTTACATTATTTCTTATGGGGAAAATAGATTCGAAAATCGTCAATTTCGATAATAGTCACACTTCCAGGAACGGATTAATTATGAAAAATGAGGGAACGCTGTATATCTTTATCCCATCAATCCCAGCTGCCTTACCCCCTTTCATTCTACCCACTGCCTCACGAACTTCTCCCTGCACTCACAACTGGCTCTTCCTCACTCCTACAAGATGTTATTCTTCCTTGCCCTATACACAAAATCACAGCTTCCCTATTTTCATCAGCATTTAACAGTTTCTCAAAATATTCCCTCTATCTTCCCAATACCTCTAATTCTCCATTTAATAACTCTCCTCTCATATTTTTAACTACCAAATCCATTCGTTCCCTAGGCTTCCTCAGCTTGTTAATCTCACTCCCAAACTTTTTCTTATTTTCATTAAAATTTGTTGATAACATCTCACCCACTTTCTCTTTTGCTCTCTTTTTACATTGCTTCACCACTCTCTTAACCTCTCTTTTTTCTCTCCATATTCTCCTCCCTCCTTGCATCACTTCTACTTTGTAGAAACCTCTCATATGCTAACTTTTTCTCCCTTACTACTCTGTCTACATCATCATTCCACCAATTGCTTTTGTTCCCTCCCACACCCACTTTCCTGTAACCACAAACTTCTGCTGAACACTCTTAACACTATATTATTAAACCTACATTATAAGAAATAAATATTTAACAGAATATTTAAATAAGCATAAAAATATTAAGAGATAACACAGCACTAATCTCTAGTTTAGAGTTGTGACTGAACTGGTTATTATGATGGTAAAGCAATCATCCAGGAAGGTACTATTGTTCTGGAATATGTATGTAAAATGGAAGCTTGTTAACTATAAATATTTTGTTCTAAGAGAGGACAATTGGTAAATCTCACAAACTTCTACTTACATTTAGTACTGTATATATTCATCTTTAACCCTTTCAGGGTTTCCGACGTACTAGTACGGCTTACGCACCAGGGTTATTGACGTGCTAGCACGCCTAAATTCTAGCGCCTTCAAATCTAGCGAGAGAAAGCTGATAGGCCTACATATGAAAGAATGGGCCTATGTGGTCAGTGTGCACAGTTTAAAAAAATCCTGCAGCACACAGTGCGTAATGAGAAAAAAAAAACTTTGATCCTGTTTTTGGTTTAAAAAAGCGACTTTGCACTGTATTTTCGTATAGTATTTATGGTTGTATTCTAGTTTTCCTGGTTTCATTTTATAGAGTGGAAGACATATTACAGAAATTGAGATGATTTTGATTGGTTTCACAATGAAAAGTACCTTGAAATTGAGCTCAAAGTAGCAGAAATGTTCGATTTTTGCCTAAGTTCAAAAGTAAACAAATCATGCCACGTGTCCAATACACTTCAACTGGTGAGTCTAATATTCTTTCACAAGTGTGCTGATATTATTTATACCATTTCTACACTAATGCAGTAGTCTGCATAACAGTAAATCTTCTATTTTTTTGTGAGAATAAAAATTCAAAATGGAAAACAAAAATGTAAAAGGGGCCTGGGGACATGACTAATGAACAGAGGAAATGTTATTTTAGTGCCAGGAATGTCTGTCTTGTTTATTCTGGACCCTATTTGGAAATTGGTATCTTTTGAAATTTGTGTGAAATTGGTATAATTGCTAATTATTGGATAGTTGAAATCAGTAGATAGATAGAAAAAATGGAGCTCTAGAGGATTAGTAATGATTTTTGTCTATTAGTACACTGGAATTGGCCAAAAATAGGGCTCAAAGTGAGCGAAATCGCTGATGCGTAAACATCGCTGTGACCGCTAACTTTCCAAGAGCATAATTCCGTAAGTTTTCCATCAAATTTCATACTTTTGGTGTCATTATGATCAGGAAAAGATTCTCTTATTTTTTCATAAGAAAAAAATAATTTTTTTTTTTTTCAAAAAATTTTTGACCCTGAGAACAAGTTTAGGAGAGGGCCTCTCGACCCTGAAAGCATTAATATATTTTCTAGTTATTATTTATTTTCTTAAACACACTGGCTGTCTCCTACTGATGTAGGGTGACTCGAAAAAGAAGAAACGGTTTCATCATCATTCCATCAGTGTCTTGCCAAAGGTGCACTGACATCGCAGCTCAAATGCTCCTGCAAGCTGCAACATCTCCATCCTTTCTTCAGAGTGCAAGCACTGTATTTTCCACCTACACGACTCAAGTCCTGCTAGTTGATTTCCCTGAATTCCTTCATAACTGATACTTCGCTCACTCTCCAACAGCACATCAAGTCAGAAAAATCACTTACTTCCACTGACTCCTATCCAACACACACATGCCTATTGGATGTCCAGGCCCCTCGCATGCAAAAGCCTCCTTTACCCTCTCCCTCCAGTCTTTCTTAGGATTACCTTAACACCACCTTCCCTCCACTACAAATTTATACACCCTAAAAGTCATCATATTTTTCTACATCCTCTCTAAATTTCCAAATCACCTCAACAACCCCTTTTCATCTCCTAATTTCCAAACTATGCATTCTCTGCATAATCACACCACACATTGCCTTCAGACATGACATCTCCACTTCATCCAGCCGCCTCCTCGCTGCAACATTCACAACCCATGCTTCACACCCATATAAGAGCATTGGTACCACTTGACTCGTGCATTCCCATTTTTGCGTTTGTCTCCACAGATGCCTCAATGCATCACCCACCTATTTTCGCTCTCCAATTCTAAGGTTAACCTCATCTTTCATAGACCCGTCCGCTAACTGGTCCACTCGCATATATCAGAACTCGCTCACTTCCTCCATACTCCTTCCTTCCAATCTTAGATCCAAACTTTCATTATCTAAATTTTTTATCCTCATCACCTTGCTCTTTTCTATGTTCACTTGTAATTTCCTTCTTTTACATACCCTTCCAAACTCATCCACCAACCTCTGCAACATCTCTTCAGAATCTCCCAAAAGCACAGTGTCATCAGCAAAAGGCAACTGTGACAACTCCCACTTTTGGTTAGCCTCTTTATTTTTTAATCCTACTCCTCTCCCCAACACTTCCCATTCATTTCTCTTACAGCCCCATCTGTAAAAATGTTAAACAACCATGGTGGCATCACTCATCCCTGTCTAAGGCCTACTTTTACCCTAGCCTGAGCCTCACTATCCTCATAAAAACTCTTTACTGCTTTAAGTAGCTTACCACCTATTCCATGCACTTGCAGCATCTGCTACATACCTATTTTTTTTTTTTAATAAAATCTCTTACAAAATTTTTCACTGACCATTTTCCTAGCTTTTCAGATTTCATACCTAAACCTACAGTATGTACTGTATTATCTTTATTGGTCAAACCATAATTTTAATTTTTACAATATGAATGTAAAATTTAAACTTTCGGCCTAATTTTATGGTATAACTGTTCTTTTATTCTACTTTTAGGTCATCATCCCCACCATCATCGAGAACGTGGTCGTGGAGGTGAGAAGGAACGTGAACATCGCCATACGGAACGTGCAGAGAGAGAACACGGCAAGGAAAGAAATAGAGACCGAGAGAGAGATCGTGAACGTGGGGAACGCAAAGAAAAACACCATCGTAGTGGACGCAGTAAAAGGGATAACATGATGGGAATGAGCAGAGTTGAAATGGAAATTGCAGAAGCTAATGTTCTCAGGGCTCGCCTAGGCATGCCACCACTCCGCCTTTAACACAATAAACAACAGGTGTTTCCTCTTTTCTGTAACAAATGTATTTTTCTTCTCCTTTGTTCAGTATCTGTTTGGCTTGTGATTGATTTTACAAGTACTGTAATTGTAAAATAAAATGAAGACAAATGATTTGATGTGAAGTAGTCAGATGTTTCAAACATTTATGCAGTACTTTAATGTTAAATTATTGAAATATTTTATTTCTGTATTCTAATTTTCACTTTTTGACAACATTTACTTCATATTAGTTTTTGGACTATAATTTGTAAAAATTTATAATACAGTAGATATAAATTTTCTATATAAAGTGTGGGTGAAATAATCTAATGAAGAGATTGAAGAATTTTTTCATGTATGAAAACATTTTAAAATAAGATGAAAATAAAGAATTGATAAACTAGTTTTCAACTGATTTTTTTTTTGTTTCCATCATACCAGGAGTCAGAGGTTTGATCAGATAGAAGTAAATTAACTGTTTTGTGCTTCAGCAGTCAAAATATGTATGTTTAACCCCTAAACGGTCCAAACATATATATACGTTCTTATGAGTAGCACCCCAAACATATATATATGTTTTAATTTTCCTGCCTCCAAATTTGGCACCATTGCCCTGAGATGCCTGGTCAGCATAGAATGGGTGTTAACACTCGGATATGATTAATATGGTGTGCACCATATTAAAAAATTCTGGGACCACTTAGTACCTTGTGGGAGTGCCAGCTAAATTGAGTGCCAGCTAGAGCAAACAGTGCAGCAAACACCAAGGATTCACTGATGTAATGTCATATTAACACTCCTCTTTTAAGAGGAAAGTGATGTTAACCCCAAGTTTAGGGTCTGTTGATCTCTGTCTATCTCTGTATTTCTGTATATCTTTGTCTATCTCTGTCTGTCTACCTCTGTCTCTGTCTCTTCTTTCTCTGTCTCTTTCAGTCTATCTCTGTCTCACAGGTACACATGAATACAAGTATACATAGTGTAAATTACCTAGAATAACCCAAAAAATCCAGACAAAGTGCTATACTCTGCTTGAAACTGTGAGTAAACGTGATGACGCAGTCTTGTGGCTTTCTCTGAGACAGAGCTAGACGGATAGACAGGGAGCTTGACAGACGGACAGACAGACAGACAGACATGTTTGTGTAACAGCGAAAACAAAGCCAGGGCAATGCTCATCAAATGTCACCTGTAATCTTTCCTTATATGCTGCACCCTCGCGTATGCTTGTCAAACGTCAGCTCTTATCAAATGTTATCTTATCATGTCACTGTGAGGGGTGGACTTTGTTTTTCATGCTTCAAGGGAACTTATTCATCCTTTTTCAGCAAACCGGCCATATCCCACCAAGGCAGGGTGACCCAAAAAGGAAAACAAAAGTTTCTCTTTTTAAATTTAGTAATTTATACAGGAGAAGGGGTCACTAGCCCCGGCATTTTAGTCGCATCTTATGACACGCATGGAAGGGAACTTATTATTACCTATTATTATATTATGTATTCTCCTCCTCCTCCTCCTTTTTCTCCCCCTCTTTCTCCTCTTCCTCCTCCTCCTCTTCCTCCTCCTCCTCTTCCTCCTTCTCCTCCTCCTCCTCATTATTATTATATATTTCCACATATCCAAAACATTGCTGGGACATATAAATACTTTGTATATATTCTAAGACAATAATAAATGGCCAGGGCAGGTGTAAATGTCCACCTGTCAATGTGTTTGTGACAATTTGAGAACAATTTCAGTACCTAATACTAGTGTCAGAACAAAGAATGGTTATGAAATGACACGAACTACTATAAATTGTAATTATCAGAACATAAAGATTATATAAAATAATATGAAAATAGAAAAAAAGGTATATCGGCAACACTTCTGCAAGTGGCAGGACTCGATGATCCTGTCACATGAGCATCCAGTGCCAACTTCTGGCCTTATATCTCTGTAAGTACTGACCCTAATTTTTTTTTTATTCTAAAACACTTAAAAAAATGTGCTATTTTTTCTATAAAAAAAATGATAAAATATGCGGGGGCTGCGCAGGTGAACGTATATATACGTTTGTTTGGACCGTTTAAGGGTCAAGAGGATAATGGAATTAATATTTATATATATATTGGCTCTTTGGAGTGACATATAAACTGTCATATCTGGGCACCTCTGCAAAGACAATGATTAGGTGTGACTGATGGTGAAAGTAGCCAGGCTACTTGTAGGACTTGTGGTAGCCAGGCAACTTGTAGGACTTGTGGTAGCCAGGCTACTTGTAGGACTTGTGGTAGCCAGGCGACTTGTAGGACTTGTGGTAGCCAGGCGACTTGTAGGACTTGTGGTAGCCAGGCGACTTGTAGGACTTGTGGTAGCCAGGCAACCTGTAGGACTTGTGGTAGCCAGACTACTTGTAGGACTTGTGGTAGCCAGGCGACTTGTAGGACTTGTGGTAGCCAGGCGACTTGTAGGACTTGTGGTAGCCAGGCGACTTGTGGTAGCCAGGCGACTTGTGGTAGCCAGGCAACTTGTAGGACTTGTGGTAGCCAGGTGACTTGTAGAACTTGTGGTAGCCAGGCAACTTGTAGGACTTGTGGTAGCCAGGCAACTTGTAAGACTTGTGGTAGCCAGGCAACTTGTAGAACTTGTGGTAGCCAGGCAACTTGTAGGACTTGTGGTAGCCAGGTAACTTGTAGGACTTGTGGTAGCCAGGCAACTTGTAGGACTTGTGGTAGCCAGGCAACTTGTAGGACTTGTGGTAGCCAGGCAACTTGTAGAACTTGTGGTATCCAGGTGACTTGTAGGACTTGTGGTAGCCAGGCAACTTGTAGGACTTGTGGTAGCCAGGCAACTTGTAGGACTTGTGGTAGCCAGGCAACTTGTAGGACTTGTGGTATCCAGGTGACTTGTAGGACTTGTGGTAACCAGGCAACTTGTAGGACTTGTGGTAGCCAGGCAACTTGTAGAACTTGTGGTAGCCAGGTGACATGTAGGACTTGTGGTAGCCAGGTGACTTGTAGGACTTGTGGTAGCCAGGTGACTTGTAGGACTTGTGGTAGCCAGGCGACTTATAGTCCAACATCAGAGAAAATGTGTACACTATAATGTTACTGGGGGGGGGGGGGTAGCTAGAAAATTATTCCTTTCGTATGCCTTCACTCAGGGTGTCATTTCTTCTAAAAATGGTGTTACATGAGAATGGCAGTGTTTCTCTCTATTTATTCTACTGTATCAGTGTGGAGACAACTTGTACACAATGTAAAGTGGCAAAAACCAGACGCGTTTTTCTGGTTTGTTTACATTACGTGTGGGTGGGGTGGGGAAGGCTGCCCTTCCTGGTTACTCATACTACCCAACCTGACTTCCTACAAATAAAACTCACTTCTCGCCCTACATTAGGACTACAAATATTTTAAGGTAATTAATGAGTGTACTGTATATGCATTTTATCACAGTAGAATAAATAGAAACACTGCCATTCTCATGTAACACCATTTTTAGAAGGAATGACACCCTGAGTGAAAGCATACGAAAGGAATAATGTTAAGTTGGCCCAGAAAGCAGAGAGTTACCATTAATGGAGTGAAATCTGAATGGGGATTAGTCACTAGTGGCGTTCCACAAGGATCAGTTTTAGGCCCACTCTTGTTCATAATTTACATTAATGACCTTGATGAAGGGATTACGAGTGACATGAGTAAGTTTGCTGATGATACAAAGATAGGCTTCCAGCAAGCGTGCGTGAGCGTGTTAGATAGGAGTGAATGGAGACGAATGGTACTTGGGACCTGACGATCTGTTGGAGTGTGAGCAGGGTAATATTTAGTGAAGGGATTCAGGGAAACCGGTTATTTTCATATAGTCGGACTTGAGTCCTGGAAATGGGAAGTACAATGCCTGCACTTTAAAGGAGGGGTTTGGGATATTGGCAGTTTGGAGGGATATGTTGTGTATCTTTATATGTGTATGCTTCTAGACTGTTGTATTCTGAGCACCTCTGCAAAAACAGTGATAATGTGCGAGTGTGGTGAAAGTGTTGAATGATGATGAAAGTATTTTCTTTTTGGGGATTTTCTTTCTTTTTTGGGTCACCCTGCCTCGGTGGGAGACGGCCGACTTGTTGAAAAAAAAAAAAAAAAAAAAAAAAGATAGGCCATATAATTCACTCTGAGGAGGATATCAATGAACTCCAGGAGAATTTGGACAAATTAATGTCTTGGTCTGAAAAATGGCAGATGAGAAGTTCAGTGTGGATAAGTGTAAGGTACTTGCCCTTGGTAATGAAAATAACCCTCGAAGCTATAATCTAGGTGAAGTAGAGCTTGATCATACAGAATGTGAAAAAGACTTGGGAGTCATGGTAAGCAGAAATCTAAAGCCAAGACAGCAGTACCTTAGTGTGCACAACAAGGCCAACAGATTACTTGGATTTATCTCAAGAAGTATAAGTAACAGAAGTCCAAAAGTTATTTTACAGCTCTATACATCACTAGTGAGACCTCATTTAGATTATGCTGCTCAGTTTTGGTTCCCTTACTACAAGATGGATATAGACTCATTAGAGAACATACAGAGAAGAATGACTAAAATGATTTACTGTGTAAGGAACCTCCCGTATGAAGATAGACTTAAAACCTTAAATCTCCACTCTCTGGAGAGGCGTAAGATGAGGGGAGATATCATTGAAGTGTATAAGTGGATGACAGGCATAAACAAGGGAGATATTAATAAAGTACTGAGGGTGTCGAACCAGGTAAGAACCAGAAATAATGGATTTAAGTTGGATAAATTTAGATTTAGAAAGGACATAGGCAAGTGCTGGTTTTCTAACAGAGTTGTAGATGCGTGGAACAGTCTTCCCAGTGGGGTGGTAGAGGCTAGGACCTTGGGTAGCTTTAAGAAGAGACTGAACAAATATATGAGTGGGAGGGGCTGGGTTTGATTGGTGTCATTGGGTAGCTTTGGGTAGAGCTTTTGATAAGGACCTGCCTCGCATGAGCCAGTAGGCCTTCTGCAGTGTTCATTCTTATGTTCTTATAACCCTAGCACTTATAAGTTAAATAATGTAGAACTTAGCCATACAGATTGCGAAAAGGACTTGTGGGTTATGGTAAGCAGCAACCTTAAACCAAGACAGCAATGCCTAAGCGTACGTAATAAGGCAAATAGATTATTGGGATTTATATCAAGAAGTGTAAGCAACAGAAGTCCAGAGGTTATACTGCAGCTTTATACATCATTAGTAAGGCCTCACCTAGATTATGCAGCTCAGTTCTGGTCTCCATATTACAGAATGGACATAAATTCGTTAGAAAACATTCAGCGTAGAATGACTAAATTAATACATAGCATTAGAAATCTTCCTTATGAAGAAAGATTGAAGACTCTTAAATTA